CTTACGCACGAGCAACCCATACTCATTACACACTATGAGGTAAATGATAAAAGTTCTGGAAATATTGTGACTTCAAAAAGAATAAAGTAAAGGTAAAGGAACCCCTGACCGTTAGTTTCATTCGTGAATGACTCTGGGGTTGCAGCGCTCATCTCGCTTTACTGGCAGAGGGAACTGGCGTACCGGCGAGTCATGTGGCCAACATGACTAAGCCACTTCTGGTGAACCAGAGCAGCTCACAGAAATGCCGTTTACCTTCCCGCCGGAGCAGTACCTATTGATCTACTTGCACTTTGACGTGCTTTCGAACTGCTAGGTTGGCAGAAGCAGGGACCGAGCAACAGAAACTCACCCCGTCGCGGGGATTCAAATCGCCGACCTTCTGATCGGCAAGTCCTAGGCTCCACCCGCCACCCGCATCCCTCAAAAAGAATAGATCTGCATCAAAACATAAGCATAAAATTGTCATTAATGGGCTGGATTTAAGATGAATGTATTGCCAAAGATGTTATTTCTGTTCTAAGCCCTCCCAATTATAGAGAATGTGAAATGTTTTAAAGAACGGCAGAAAGTTTTATCTAGATTCATCTGGCAGGGGAGGGGACGACAAGAATTAAATATAAACTACTTACAGACGCTAAAGAAAGAGGGGGATTTTCCCTGCCAGATTTGAAAATCTATTTTGAAGCTGCGGCGCTTTGCTGGATTAAGAAATGAATACAACTAGAAGATACCAACGTTTTAGATTTGGAGGGATTTGACAATGTGTTTGGATGGGATACATATTTATGGTATGATAAAGTAAAGGCCCATAATGCTTTTAAAAACCATGTAATTAGAAAATCTTTGTACAATGTATGGATAAAATATAAAGATCTCTTGGAAAGGAAGACACCCAGATGGCTTTCGCCAATGGAGGTGAAGGCCCAGAAAAAGTTAAATATAGACACCAAGTGGATGAGATATTCAGATTTGCTAGTGGAGGACAAAGAAAGTTATAAATTAGAACTATTTGACCAAATTAAAGACAAGTTAAATTGGTTACATTATCACCAGATTAGTGAATTGTACAAATTAGATAAGAAAAATGGTTTTGCTTCAGAAAAATCTAAGTTGGAAATGGAGTTGTTGGACTCTAAAGTTAAAAATTTGTCTAAAATGTATAATTTACTGCTGGAGTGGCATACAAAGGATGAACAAGTTAAATCAGTAATGATAGACTGGGCAAGAGATGTGGGACATAATATAATGTTTGAAGTGGGAAAGATTGTGGAAGAAAGGGGTCAAGTTCACTGCATGTACAGTGTTAAAGGAAAATATTATGAAAATGATGTGTAGATGGTACTTAACCCCTGTAAAATTAGCAAAGATTTATCACAATAGTGATAATCAATGCTGGAAATGTAAAGAAAAAGAAGGTGCCTTTTTTCATCTGTGGTGGACCTGCCCCAAGGTGAAAGACTTCTGGGAGAAGAGTTATAATGAACTGAAAAAAATGTTGAAATATATACTTACTAAGAAACCAGAGGCCTTTCTTCTTGGAATAACAGGTTTGGAATTGCCCAAGAAAGATGTTAAATTATTTTTGTATGCCACAACTGCAGCAAGAATTTTGTTAGCGAAGAATTGGAAAACACAAGAAGTACCAACAGTGAAAGATTGGCAGATGATAGATTTTTTGGAGCTAGCCGACCTGACTGGAAGAGTCTGTGAACAGAAGGAGGAGGAGTACCAGGAAGAATGGATGAAATTTAAAGACTATTTAGCTAAATATGTTAAGATAACTTAATTGGAAAAGCTTGCAAATAATAGATAGGCTTAGGATTTAAATATGTAAGGATAGGATTTAAGATGTTTAAAGCTAAATTAGAAAGAATGAAAGATGTTAAGTGATCAAGTTAATATTATGAGAAAATCGATTTTGGAAAACTGTTAAAATAATATATAATGAAATTCAACCAAGGGGATTTGAGGATGTATGTATGTATGTTTGTTTGTTTGTTTTAAATTTTTGGAAAATCAATAAAAAAATGGGGGGGGGACCATAAGCATATGAGAGAAACAGCATGGATATTACTGTAATATGCTATTCAAAGCTGCTACCTGGGTTTTTAAAGAAAGATAACAAGTTTGAATGATATGAAATGCATTTTGTAGTGATTCTACTATTCAAGCTAGCTGGTTTAATCCTCTCCCTTCCCACCCCCTATGACCACCATCCAGGCAACATACTCTGGGCTTAAATTTTAATTTTGTTTTTCTCCTAGAAAATTGGAAACATGTATACAGTAAGGCAATCTATGTGACCTTTCCAAAGTAGCAGTTATAAATAAAAATTTTCCCATTGATTTCCTCACTGGAAATTAGTACATTATTACCAGTCCCCTCTTGTTTTCCACAAGGAAGAGTATGCATTGGCAGATCAGACATTTACGGTCTATGAAACTTTTGCATGTGATCAGTCATAAGAAGGGCTTTTTTTCAGCTGGAACTCACCGGAACTCAGTTCCGGCCCCTCTCAGGTGGGCACCATTGCCATTCTGAGAGAACAAGGGAGGGGTTCGGGGTGCGTTCTGGCACCTCTTTTTCTAGAAAAATAACCCTGGGTAAGTATCCTCTACCCCAAGGAAGGGGAACCTTATGCCCAGAGATGAAATGCCACCCTCTAAGTCTAAGCCTCTTCATCTGGCTCCCAGGACTTCCCCGAGGCTATAAGTCCGCCTCAGCCCCTCCCCTTACCCCCAGGCCATGCTGCTCACCAGCCCCACTTTGCAAAAGCAAAAATGCTACCTTTTAGTGTTTCTTCCTGGCTGCACACTTTCCCTGCACCTCGGAACACTTTCCCTGCGCTCCGATAATGACTCTTGTTTGCCTGGATGGGCACCTCACCCGCCTGACTCTGTTCTGCTGCTCTACTGTCCTCCTTGCCAGGCCCCTCAAAGGCCATTTTAGTGGCAGGGATGTGCATTCCAAGCCACTGCATTTGGGGTAAAGCATTGTCAATGGCAGTTGAACCGGCTGCCCATTCAAAAGTGTTGCTGGCCCCCCTGCTAAAATGCTGCCCCATGTGGAGGGCCATAAGTGATGCTGCTGCTGTGGTGAGTGCGATGGTGGGAGGGGTTGACAACACACACACCCCTCCTGAGACATGCCAGTGTGGTGTAGTGGTTAAGAGTGGTAAATTCGTAATCTGGCGAACCGGGTTTGTGTCTCCACTTCTCCACATGCAGCTGCTGGGTGACCTTGGGCTAGTCACACTTCTTTGGAGGTGCATTACCCATACAAGTTTTCTCCAAGGACATCTAAAAAGTATAGTCAGAATTGAGACTAAGGACTGCAGTTCATGAATTTCCCTTGTGCCATAATTAGTGACCTTGTTTTATGTGTTTTTCTTACCACTGGTGGCAAAGCCATGAAATTCAGAAAAGTGTCTCCAAAATGAATAATTGGTTTATGTCAGTACATAAGTTCTTTAACCCTTGTAGGAGTTTACTGAGCACATGTGGATTAGTTGAGCTTTAACTGTTATTTTACTAGGCTGTTTAAAATTCAGCCATTGCCCAATCTGATATACCGGTACATTCTTTTTATGAATCACAGATGTTGGCTGTCCTTGTTCAAGTGATACATCATTGCTGCACACCTCACAAGAAGGCAACTAACTCATTGTTCTGAATCTCATAGCAACTTGGGTGAGAGTGCTAAGAATTACATTGGTGAGTACAAGTGCCATCTGAATGAGTCAATGCAGTGTAGTGGTCAGTGTGCTGGATTAAGAGCAGAGAGATCTGGGCTTAAATCCAACTTGTACATGAAGCTTGCAGGAAGATCAGCTGCTACCTGTCAGTCTGACCTCTCTGGCAGTGTTGTCTTGAAAATTGCATGGAGACAGCACCTTGTCCCTAGAGGCCCTACAAGAGCAGAACAAAGCCAAGGCCAGTCTCCCCCAGGCTGGTGTCCTCCAGATGTTCTGGACCACAACTCCCATCCTCCTTGGCCAGGTAGAGGTTGCTGGGAATTGGAATCCCAAGCAACTGGGGGGGGGGGCACTGGGCTGCAGTTAGGCTGGCCTAAGACCTGAATATTTTCTGCCAGCTCTCTATTTTGTATCCATCCCCTGGAAAGAGCTCTAAAGCCATCTGGAGTTATTGGATAGACTGTGGGAGACCTTTGTCTTCTTTGAGATATTTAATGTAATTGTCCACCCTCTCTTTCCAAGCAGATTTAGTCAATGAGCTCTATAAATAATGGTTCCTGGTGACTAACTGTCATTTCCATCCTCACATATTTCCAAGCCTTTGCTAACTCAGCAAGGACACATTCTGCACTTCGCCAGAAAATAACAGCCTGATTGCATCCTTTTTTTTGCAATGTGATAACTGAAATATATTAGCACATGGTTTCCTCTGGACCACTCTTCTGATGAAAAATAGAGCTGGCATCCATGGGTTTTTTCTAAATGCAACCTTTGGACATCTGTTTCTTGTTCCAACTGTCTCAGCCATTTTATCATCCTCTGTTAAACGCAGCACAAATCAGAGACATACTGAAGGATTGCAAGTGTTTAATTCTTATGGGGCTGGGAAGAAAGATCATAAGGAAGATGAAATAATGGCTTTATATGGAGGGGCTCATAGCATCAACACCCCAGCAGAGATGGCTTCCTGCTTAGTCACAGCTTAGGAGGCAACATACAGAGCAAGCCTGCTTTCTAACCCAGCTGTCACACAACCAACCTAGCCATTGTCCTTCTATTTGCCACCCTGGGGAGAGGGAGGAGCCCACCTATTTATCCTCCAGCACAGGGTAATACTAATGAAGGTACTTAGCTAGCAAGCTGAGTCATTATCTTAGAATTGCCTAGTTCAACCAAAGACTCTTCCATCAGATTTTAACCCTTGATGAGTACAGGACCCCAAGAATTGGGAGGGACTCAAAGCATTGTGCAGCCTGACCCCCTGAACCTACAACACTCTTTCTGTGTGTATCTCTGTTTATATTCTGCGATAGCTCAGTTGATAGAGCATGAGACTCTTAATCTCATGTTTGTGGGTTCAAGCCCCAACATTTGGCAAAAGAGTCCTGCATTGCAGGGGATTGGACTCCATGACCCTTGTGGTTCATTCCAACTCTACAACTCCTTGATTCTATGATTATATCATTCTGCCCTGTCCCAAGATAACAAAAAGCAAAGCAGCAAACAACAACCCTACAGCAAAACAGAGCACAATTCAATTTAATCTGATGGCATTTCTCCTTTGTTCCTCTACTTCAGGGGTCGGCAACTAAGGCCCATGGGCCGGAAGTGGCCCACGGAGGCCATTTAACCAGCCCACAAGCCGCCCCCAAACCAAGCCACCCACTCGGCGAGTCCCCACGTGCTGCACTAAAGCAGCCCAGCACGGTGTGAGGACTGTCTTCCGTGGTGCCGGAAATCACTTCTGCGCATGCCCAGATGCCAAAAATCGCTTCTATGCAGGTGCAATTTTTGGTATCTGGCCATGCACAGAAGCGATTTCCAGTGCCACGGACATGCGCAGATGCACTGGCCCAGACCACAGAGGATCCCATAGAGTGATCCGGCCCATGCCCGGTAAGCCTTGCCGACCCCTGTTCTACTTCATCCTCATAGGTCAGACTCTGAAAAACCAGTTACTCAAATCTGGACTTTGGTGGATCTTTGGTGGGAAGAATTTCATAATTTGGGGTGGGATAGTGGAGCAGCCACTGAGAACAGCTGCTCCTCCCCCCTCCCCATAACCCTTCAGAGTCTGATTCCCTGTGTATGCAAAAGGGACCCTAAATTGTATCCTTTCTCATTATTCTTCCAATATTGTCAAGGGTGGACCACTAGAATTTTTAAAACAAGTCTCATTCCAGCCTCAAGTCAAGGCTTAAAGTTAGGTTCCTCTGCCATGGGCCTTGATCTATTGCATTCACTCATGCCGCTTGAGTTTCAGTCAGATGAATAGATTTGACATATTCCTTATTTAAGGAGAAGGGGAACATTTTCAAATGGTTTTTATGGCATGTCTAGTTTCCTCCCCTCTCCCCCCGAGGAGAATGGGAAAGCAATGTTGCTACCATCTGTGGAAAGGGGCTATAGATTATTTGTAGACTTGTGACAGTTCCTGGCATACATCATTTCGCAATTCAATTATGCAGTTTGTGACGCTGCAGCAAGGGATATTGATGGCTTCTGAACTCAACTCATGGAAGGGATTCAGGCCAAAAGTTGGGCCAAAGAAGCAAAAAATATAGCACGGGATTTTTGGGGCCTGGTGAAATCCTGAGGTCAAGAGACTGAGTTCTCAACTACATATCTTGTTCGACATCTTTATAAATTACTTAGATGAAGGAATTGAGGGAATGCTCATCAAATTTGCAGATGACACCAAACTGGAAGGGGTAGCTAATATGGCAGAAGACAGAATCAGAGTTCAAAATGATCTTAACAGATTGGAGATCTTGGGCCCAAACTAACAAAATGAATTTCAATAGGAACAAATGTAAGGTTCTGCTCTTAGGCAGGAAGAACCTGATGCACAAATATAATATGGGAGACACCTGTCTTACTAGTAGCATATGTGAAAAGGATCTAGGGGTCTCGGTGGACCACAAGCTGAACATGAGTCAACAGTGTGATGCAGCTGCAAAAAAGCTAATGCTATACTGGGCTGCATCAACAGAAGTCTAGTGTCCAGATCAAGTCATATTACCTCTCTATTCTGGCTAGTTTCAGTCCCCATGTGGGGACTATGTCCAGTCATGGGCACCACAGTTTAAGAAGAATGTTGCAGAGGAGGGAGATCAAAATGATAAAGTGTGGGGTAGTTGAGCATTATGATGAATGGTTAGAAGAATTCAGTATGTTGAGCCTGGAGAAGAGAAGATTGAAAGATGAAAGGATCTTGTTTTCTGCTGATCCAGAAAGTAGGACCTGAACCAACAGATACAAATTACAAGAAAGGAGATTCCAACAAAACATTTGAAATAAGTTTTAGTTGGTAAAAGCTGTTTGACAGTGGAACCAGCTCTCTTGGAAAGTGGTGGACTCTCCTTCATTGGAGATTTTCAAACACAGATTGCATGGGATTCTTTAGCTCTGATTCCTGCATTCAGGGGGTTGGACAAGTAGAGTTCTTTCCAACTCTACAAATTCTATGATTCTATGAAATCAAGAATTCCAGGTTCAAATTGTACCTCAGCCATAGACCTACTAAGGAAACTTAAACCTGGCTGCCCTTCTGTAATATTAGGACAAACTGTCATGTTTTACGAGTTTATTGTAAAGATTAGAAATTAATATTTCAATGTTAGGTTTTTTAAAGAGGTCTTTTACACCTAGAATTTTAAATTTTTGATGGCTGTTGAAATCTTGACTTAAAAAACCCAACAACATCCAGCTTCCTGGTGAGTGAAGGGCTATACCAAGGTATTTAAAGCGGGTGACCTGCTCAATCTTAGGTCCGTCGATGTACTTACCATACACATGATTTGGGCCTCTTGGCAAAGACCATGATTTGAGGTTTTTGGCAGTTGAGATCCAATTGGCTCTCTTTACAATATGCAGCGAGTGTTTTCATGGCTGTTTTAAGGCCAATCAGTGTTCTAGAGAGGATTGCAATGTTGTCTGTGTAAAGCGGCACCGAAATAGGATTTCCTGTAAGTTTTGGAGGATGGAAATTTATATTGCAGAAAATAAGGGATCATATCATTTATATAATAATTGAACAAGGATGGGGCCAGTATGCATCCTTGTTTGACTCCTTTCTTGGTTTCTATTGCATTGGGTAAGTGGCCTTGGGAGGTACAACACACTTTTAATGAGGTCCCTTCATGTAACATGTGCATTAGGTATAGCAGGCGTCTATCTATTGTGGAAGTCTCCACTTTTTCCCATAGCTTTGTTCTGGAAATAGAGTCAAAAGCTCATCTGAAGTCAATAAAGGCCACAGAAAGAGAAGCAGTTTTACTAGATGAGTACTTCTCTATTAGATGTTGGAGAACTAAACATTGGTCAATGGTCGAACGACCCTCTCAGAATCCCGCTTGCTCATCTGCAAGAATGTTTTCTTGTTGCAGCCAGTATTGGAATTTCCACTGCAATTGTCTTTCGTACAATTTACTTATTATGTTGAGAAGACTGATTGGTCTATAGTTGGCAGGATCGTTTTGTTGTTGTTGTTTTTTGTATTTTGCACAATGATTGTTAGTCCCCAGTCTTCAGGAATATATCCATAGATGTCTATATAGAATATATCCATAGGTGTCTATGCCAGGTTAGGGAATGGAAGCCAGGTTATTTCACGTGAGCACTAAAGGTCCATATAATCCCCTCTTGGGATTCAGGCGGTGGCCATTGATTTCTAATGTGGTACCCTCTCTGCCAGCATGGAGGTCAAAGAGGTTAGAAACTTGGAGGATACTGCATGGACTATCCCTGTCCTAGGAAGTCTAATGCCCTGTTAGTGGCAGACTTTGGGCTCTCAGATCTGAGTGGTGCCCAGTGTGATGCTAAAATTCCGGGTGGGGGCACCTCCATTCTACAGCATTGTGGTGGCACCCCCTGCAGTACAGCACTCAGTGTGGCTGAATCAATTGTGCTACCTTAAAACTGCCTCTGGCCACGTGGCATGAGTCTCTCTCTAAATCCCTAGATTCAGTGACATCCAGGAGTTAAGTATCTTTTATAGCACTTGCTTTGCAATCCCCATGGGGGGGGGGTAATTTTCTTTGATCCAAGCGTGTGTTGGGGTCTACTAAAGAAGGGAGGGGCTCCTTTTCCCAAGGATTCCCCACCAGGCTCTGGGAGATGGCAGAAGAAAAAGTTACAAAGGGCTTTCCTTCTTCTTCTGGGGACTTCATCTGTCACTGCCCTCATTCATGATAAAATCCTCTGGCAACTGTAGTTGCCGATCAACTCCGCAATGAAAGGCAAGCCAAGTCATTTCCCATTAGTGATGGTGGGGGAAGTTCTGCTGACCATCACTTTCACACCCAAGGGTCCTTTGACAGAAACAGCTCCCAGGTTGCACACTGCCAGGTGCCTGGGAGGTAATGAGATGGTCGGTTTGCTGCTGCTGCTAACTGTGCCTGGCTCAGCTGGGAAAATTAGGATTGCAGCACCTGTGCCCCACCCCCATGGCATTTGAGACGGATGCTGAAGATATTTGGCAGCCAAAATGCCAATCACTCTTCATTTCTGAAGCTTCTCTGAAATGGGGGTTGTTTTGACTCTATCAGCTATTGGCATGGGGAAAGTGATGAGGTATCTTCATTTCCCCACACAGCCTTCAGCAACCCTGGTAAGATGGTATCTGGAGGAGGCCCTCGCCTGCAGAGCACAGTGATCAATTGGCTTTATAATGGGTGAGGTGATCTTTCAGGTACAGTGGTACCTCAGGTTACATACCTGGCCAGTATGGTCAACTATCGCCCAGTCTCAAATCTTCCATTCTTGGGCAAGGTGATTGAGTGCGTGGTTGCTGAACAACTCCAGGCACGCCTGGAGGATGCGGACCATTTGGATCCCTTCCAATCGGGATTCAGGCCTCATCATGGGACTGAAACTGCCTTGGTCGCGCTGGTTGATGATCTCCGGCGAGCTAAGGACAAAGGTGAGAGCTGTTTCCTAGTTCTGCTGGATCTCTCAGCGGCCTTTGATACAATCGACCATAACATCCTTCTGGACCGTCTAGAGGGGCTGGGAGCTGGGGGCACTGTTATACAGTGGTTTCGCTCCTTCCTCCTGGGCCGTGTTCAGAAAGTGGTGGGGGGGGATGAGTGTTCAGACCCCTGGGCCCTCACTTGTGGGGTGCCTCAGGGTTCCGTCCTCTCCCCCATGCTTTTTAACATCTATATGAAGCCGCTGGGAGAGATCATCAGGGGGTTTGGACTGGGACTGGTGGACTGGGTGTCCATCAATATGCAGATGATACCCAGCTCTACCTCTCTTTCAAATCAGAACCAGTGAAGGCGGTGAAGGTCCTGTGTGAGTGCCTGGAGGCGGTTGGAGGATGGATGGCAGCTAATGGATTGAAGTTGAATCCTGACAAGACAGAAGTATTGTTTTTG